GTCAAAATTATAAATCTCGACCAACCATTGATTTGGAACCCTACATCTATCAAAACCTTGATTGGAAGAAAATGACAAGATCGAGAGAAGAGTTATCCAAGAGTTTACTATAGAGAATATACAATGAGAAATCATTTAAATGCAACAATGAGTTGCCAACTTTAAGAAGAGATAACCCGGAGAGGTCACCCATAGCTACAATGATAACTTGACAGATCGAGATAAGGATGGAATCCCTTCCATCAGATAATTTCAAATGATAGTGAACTAATACATTGACAATTTATCATGGAATATCAGAGAAGGAGTCAAGATTTTAAAGTGAAGGTTTACTTGAGAGAATTTGATGATAGTATAAATATGAACGAGTTCATTAAATGGCTCTAGACAGTACAATAGGTATTTGCGTATAAGAATGTTCCACCTGACATAAGGGTCAAGTTGGCTAGCTTCTATTAATTTAGAAAGAATGTTTCACTATGGTGAAAGAAACTGAATCGTATTCGACAACGAGAAGGAAAAAATAAAATCACTACCTAGTTAAAGATAAAAAGAGAAATACAGCTCGAATATTATAGAAGATGACTCATTGTGCTTGCTTATTTTTTGATAATTCTTAGATTACCCCTACAAATGTATTGTATTATATTACATGATTCCAACCAAACAGATAGAAGCAAGTATAAATTTTTAGGAAAATTTACATATAAATCACACAATTCTTATGTATTTACATATCTAACACCTAAAATTTCATGCTTACATTTATAATGCTTTGTTGTAATAAATTCATGCATGAAAAGGTGTATTTCAAATATAATTGACTCCCAAAAATAACACCAATTGAAACGCATTAAAGTATTATGATGCATTACAATGACATTCAAAAATGAGCATACCCATTCAAGTAGTGTGGAAGCATCAGACCGAGGAGTAAACGTTGAGTTTTTTTGACCTGTAATGAGTTCAATGATGAGGACACCGAAGCTAAAGACGTCAACTTTAGTCGAAAGGTAGCCATACATGGCATACTCTGGAGCCATGTAGCCATTAGTGCCAGCAACACGAGTGTTGACATGGGTAAGGTCTTCTGGGAAGAGTCTAGCCATACCAAAGTCTGCAATTTTTGGGCAGAACCTCTCATCAAGCAAGATATTGCTAGCTTTGATGTCACTATGGATTATAGGAGTGTGTGCATCCTCGTGCAGGTATTGAAGTCCTCGAGCTACCCCAATCATCACATCATAGCGCTTTTTCCAATCAAACATCATTGTTGCTTCCTTGTCTTCTCCTACATTCCATTATGGAATCACAAGTCATTTTGCATGAACTTCTGTCATATTAAAAGAATAGCTTATAGATGTAGTAAAAATGAATTGTCCAAAATTCCCAAAAATCAGTTTGGGTTATAAATATTTTATGGGAAAAATGATTCACACAACTATGAAAGGCAATATATTTTCAAAATACATCTTTTAAGCAATATTTATCAAACCCAAAAAAAAATCATTCTTTCAAAACATATCTCATGCAGCATACTAGCATGTAATACCATAAGAGAGAGATGGTAGGCCCACATCATATATCTTTATCTAGAAAGATGTTAATCATATTTTGACTTCAGTGGTATAAGTAGCATTTCACTAACAAGTTATATATAAATGGAAAACAATGAAATTAAAAAATCAGAGCCCAAAATCGCTTTTATAATTTTATATTGTATAAAAATGCTTTTGAACAATCATTAAATTATAGTTGCAAGGAATGCTAATCATGCTGAATTTGAGATGTTCAAATCCATCACAATATCATAAATGTAATTCCATTCAACATCATCCCTCAAGTTTAGTTCAGACAATCCATACATAAATGTAATTCCATTCAACATCATCCCTCAAGTCTAGTTCAGACAATCCATACTTTAACTGAATACAATTAATCCAGAAATGAGCATTTCTCCGTTTTCATTTGTTCAACAAATGAAAGATAGTTCTGTAAAATAATATTTGCAATAATGTCTTTGGCATAGAAAAAGCAGTTTCTAGTAGATGGACGGAAGAGAAGAAGAAATGACAACATACGGGAGAAGAGGATCTTGTCGAGGCTTTCATTGAGAACGTATTCGTACACGAGGAGCTTGTCTTCAAAGTGCGTACAATAGCCATAGAGAGTGACTACGTTCTTGTGCTGAACCCTGGAGAGCAACATCGCCTCGTTTGTGAACTCCTCGCCACCCATCAGAGACCAGCGACCCAGCCTCTTTACTGCCACCATCCTCCCATCCTCCAACTGCCCCTGCGCCATCAGTCAGCCAGTTCATCAAACACTTGTTATTCAAATCAGCTCTCTCGATCTCATCGATTTAAAGAGCTGAGAAAGGGGCCTTGTCAATTACTACCTTGTAGACAAGGCCAAAACCCCCTTCTCCAAGCTTGTGCTTGACGCTGAAATTGCGGGTCGCGGCCGCAAGGGTTTCGTAGCGGAAGACCTTGGTCTCCTTGGCCGCGATTGCCTCAAGATCTTCCTCTTCTTTCCGAAAATCTGCCGACATCGAAAAAAACGGATTCAAGGGATCAAATGAATCTAAAATTGCAAAATTGATCAATTTTGAACTTCCCGGAAGTGCACCTCGATTATGACGGCGATTAAAGGGCTTGATGAGTTTGTCGAGAAGTCCCGTTGGCTTCGTCATGAGAAACGAGAGAGGGAGGCATGGAATGAAGGCGGCAAGGTGGAGCAGCAGAGAAAGGCGAATGGCGGAAGCCTGCAAAACCAGACCGTCCAGTGGTGTTGTTGAAAAGTACTCGAACGACATCGCAACTACATCAGATGGCATTTTTCCTCGGCCAACCCACGTGCTTTATTAGAGGGAAAAAAAATTGTGTCGGGATATATCGATACCCACGTGCTTTATTAGAGGGAAAAAAAATTGTGTTGGGATATATCGATGGTACAAGGGGTTACATCCACAGTATAAGCTCTTGTAACCTCCCTGTAACCTCTCTGTAACCTCTCTGTAACTTACGTGTAACCTCTTAATATATGATAACAGAAGCGCGAAACTTATTTTAGGGTACAGATAGATTACAGCAAGTTACAGGAGGTTACAAAGGGCTACCGTGGATGTAACTCCCTTGTAATCTCGGTATAACCCCAATATCGCACGCAGTGCTGCGTACGTCTATCGCACGCAAATTTTTTCCCTATTGGCGGCCCGTTTCGGCAGTTTATTTGGTGTCGTGGGCTTACCTAGAAAATAACATTTTTACACCTCATCTACTTAGGTACAGTGAAAACTTATTAGCAACGTTCTCGCTTTTCCAAATCCAAATGCATCACATTTTAAGGATTTAATTAATACCAATCTAATATAATGTGTGTGTGTATAATAAAAATAAAATTAAGTTTACT